CTCAAGCCGCGCGGTCAATCAGCCCACGCTGCCAATTTCATACCTCAATAACGTACCTACTGTTCTGGGAGCCTGGCTGGCCCCTAATGCAAAATTTCGCGCCGTGATGCCGAAAAGTCGAGCCGTTCTTGTGCGGCGCACGGGCGAGGATTGAGAGAAATGGAGAGGAGGGGGGGGGGGCGACTTCAGCGAAGTGGGCACGAAGCCATTGGGGGGGAGCTTTTTTTTTAACGCCTTTTCACATTTATTACCTTGCAAATCATTCCCTATGCGCTTGTCCCAGTGCGCAGCGTAAAAATGAAGTAACTGGCACCGTGCAGGAATTGGGGGAATATTAGACATGACACAGGAACGGCTGGCTGGCTGAAGCCAACTAAAAAATATATATTTTAGGTCTCCGTAAAAGTAAAAAAAAGAAAAGGGGGCATTTGAGACGCTTCTCGCGACCTCGCGAGCCTGGCTCGTGATTTTTTTTTTCTTTCTAAAAACACTGCCCGCGTTGTGCACTCGGGGAATAAAAAAATCCGCTGTGCTCGTGCCTTTGTGAGAGTGAGGTGAGACGCGAGGACACGGCTTTCGCGAAGAGGCCCGAGGCGCGTTGCGTCGCGATGGCGCTCACGACGCAGACGAGCCTCTGGGCGCTGGGGTGGCCGCGTCGTGAGCGCGCCACGCGGGTTCATCACTCTTGTCTTACTGGTGCGTCGCCCGAGCCGCTTGCATTTTCTTTCTCTCGTTCTCATTCTCTCGCTCGCTCGCTCCTCTCTCACCCGACATTCCATAAGTGTCGCTTGGCGCGGCTGTCATTGCTTGTGATAACGATGATGATGATAAGAGTCGAGCGTGAATTGTCCGCACGCGTCTTTGTGATGATACAGACTGAATCGGACCCGGTGATGGTAATGATGATTTGGTGGTGACGGTGATTTTCAGCCTTTGGGGAAATTGATGTCAGGTTTTAGTCAATGAACTGTACACCAACGTCTTGGTGCATTTTTATACAAAGCAGCAGAAATGTATTATAATATACCTGCAGAAAATAATGTCAACATCAAGAATATGATTCCCATATTGGTTACAGTGGGTTTGTTTGTTTGTTTCACGTAAGTTTGGCCAAAGCAAAATAATTCTAACTTAAAAACTTAAATTACATTTACTTTTTGCCAAGAGGCCTGGCAACAAACCTCCTTCTCTTGCCAGCATCGCAACCAAACCCTTGAGCGGGTTGCGATTTTCACAAGCGTGATTTATTTTTTATTTTTTACAGAGAAAAAAATAACGTGATTTTTTTTCTATCCTTAATTTGTTTACAAATGTATCGCGTGTTAATGCACCGTGCGTTTCGCGCCAACGAAAGCATAATTACTGCGGCTGAAAATGCGTGGGCGGCCGCTTTAAGCTGCCCGCACATTGCTAGGGAGCACGGCTTGAGTTTCTGCATCAGCGGAGTCGTGTCACTGCCCACCGCGGTCTTGTCAGCCACACCGAGAGACACACGCGGTTAGTGGCGGGGCAAAGAGGGAGCGGTAACCAGCCCACCCTCACCTCCCGTCGTCGTCATCATCGTTATAACTGTCGAATTCTGATAAGAATCTCGAGGCCCAATTCGTAAAATGTGCATAAATGCGTGTTTTTATTTTATTCTAATGCTGTTCCAGTCGTGCTATCGGTGACAAGTCAAACTACGAAGTTTCCTTTCAGATCTCTCTTGCAAAGCATAAAAGTCCATGGAGGCGGATATCACAGAGAGCTACCTCTGAGATTCGCGACCTCTGCTCTACACAGTAGGAGGGGTCAGCACTTCACCACCCACTCCGCCACCGAGGGTAACATTTTCTTGTTAATACAGCCAAAATTAAGTGCGAAACCAAATTTCACGTGAAGTCATTGGTAACTTCACAGCAACATGAAAACTCGATTGGCTCAACCACAGCCAACACGCATGGATTCCAACCCAGAATCTCGACGGTGCCAAGCTCAACGCTCTGCCCATCGATGCCACCTGGCCATCACCCCACTTGGGGGAATGTGTCACGTGCGTGTCAGTGGCAGGCCAACACTCGTGATGCAATGAGAAATATTACTGGTAAGAACCTCCTGGTTACATCAGCCCACAGGGGGTTATTGTGTCCGTCCGTCCGTCGTGCATCTAAAAATGGGAGGGGTGGGGCTGGGTGGAGAGGGGAGGGTGGGGAGGGGCAGAGTGGGGAGAGTGGGGAGGGGCTGGGTGGGGTGTGGGAGAGGTGGGGCTGGGAGGGGCTGTGTGGGGAGGGTGGGGAGGGGCTGGGTGGGGAGGGTGGGACTGGGTGGGGGGTGGGAGGGGTGGGGCTGGGTGGGGAGGGGAGGGGCTGGTCACCCCGTGGTGCTCTTATAAAACTCAACGTTTAACCTACTCACGCCGGCTTTTGCCCGCCCTCACAGTTGGCCATATTTGCGGAATACACCATGCCGCCGTTAACCCTGGCCATTGACCGAGCAACCCAACGTTCCTACCAGCTCTCTCCGCAGGAATGTGTTAAGGCTGTCCCTGAAATAAAACTCATCAATTTTATTTATTTATTTACTTACTTATTTTACCAGGTAAGGCCCACTGAACTATATATCTCTTTGATCCGAAGCGACCTGGCCACAAATGATTATCTTAAGTGTCAAGTTGATCGCATCGCTTGCTTACACTTTTTGCATTTGGTAGAGAATCGACCCTCGTCTCACATTCACGAATGATTTCGTATATTTTGAGCGTCAGAATGCATCACTACACGCCCACTCTACTCACCCTGCCACCCAGGCTGCTGCACGTGACTGGCAGGTGTATTGCACCTGTGCCAGTGAGTCTACCGGTGGCGCAAAGGTCAGATCACAGAGCCAGCGACCCATTAAAACACGTGTTCAAGTCCTGGCTCCAGTCTCCTATGATTCAACTGGTTTATCGATTGTACCGAGCTGATGGTCTCTTACTTTCGGTTGGCCATTGAACAAAGACGGTTACTGCATCGCGCGCTTTCACACGCATGTCTGCGGCCGTCTGGAATGCTCTTCCTTCCGATATTAGGAAGCAACTGGAGCTATGCACTTTTGAATACGGATTGAAAGCTAATTTCTTTAGAAATGTTTTTTTTGTATTTAGCTTGTTGTCCTTCCCCTGCACCTCTGATTAGCACGGTTCGCTACGTACGGTGCGAAAGAAGTTCAACATACATAATGACATATTTATGGATTCAACTCGTAATATGAAATTGAGGTTGTCACTTAATTTTACTGAATTTTAGCTCTGAATTTTTTTTTTACGCTTTGATTGACATGTGACAAACACTCTTTGCAGATTCTAGATTTGAAGCTTTCGTGACTGCAAGGATTCATATTCTTAGGTTTTTTCGGTAAAGTCACGTAGGTAAAACATCAAAATTAATGAAAATAAAATAAAACAAAAATCACGACGTTTCGGAGGCAACACAAGTCTCCGTCATCAGGTGGGACCGTCACAGCCGAATTAGCTGCATCAAGTGAGGCAACGATTCAAGATGTAATCCCTTATAAGCAAGTTGAAGGGGGGAGGAGAGGGGGGGGGCTCATCAGAATGTGGTAGCCAATGAATGGAAACGTATCGAGAGGGAGGGGGGCGGGGCTCAAAGACAGCACGGAGTGCTCACGGCTATATAAAGTCTGGGCTCCTCTTGTTGATAAAGAGGGCCAGTGTGTGTATGTTGAACTTCTTTCGCAATGTACGTAGCCAACCGTGCTGACTGGAGGTGCGGACTAAGAGGTAGTTCTGAGACATCATCTTCCACGACGGCTCTCTGACTAACATATGGCAGTGGCCTGCTCACTGTGAGAGTCCCGGACGGAAATGTGTTGATGGCACAAATTGTTATGTTACAACGGTGGCCAGTAACTACCTCGCTTGGTATACAGGAGGCCTTAAGTTCGAACCCGACCCTGATGCTTGTATATTTGGAGTTGGCATGTTCTCCCCGTGGCCGTGTGGATTCCCTGCACCTCCGATTATCACGGTTGGCTACGTACAGCACGAAATAAGTTAAACATACAAACAATATATAGCCGTGATCCATCTATCAATACCCCACTGATTTCTCACGACCCTTTGACTTCTCAACAGGTGAGCGACTTACGTGACAGCGATGGCTCCATTCTTAATTTCATCTTGCAGCGGAGAGAGTTACAATATGTAACGAGTGCATTGATATTGGAGGATGACGTTTATACGCTTGGAATTCAAATGTCATTTAAAACCAAACTATTTTAATTTTCTCATTTAAGGCCCACTGAACTAAATAGCGCTTCTTTTATACCGAGCTATTACTTTAGTGGGAGTGTCTCTAAATACATAATTTTGAACTTGTAATATATGAATACGTAACAATGTATACGCTGACAAATAAAATGGTGATCGCGTGGATTTTTATCCGGGTCCTCTTCCGGTTTTTTCCCTCCACATTTACAAACATGTATTTCGAGTATTTGGCTGCTATATATTTCCCACGTTCTAAGCAACTTCGTTGAGCTATCATTTGTGCCCAGGTCGCTTCTGAAAAAGACAAATCTAGCTCAATGGGCCTTACCTGCTAAAATGAAATAAATGCCTAAGCTCATTTGAATACACACCGCAGCATTTACCAGCGCGGTCGCTAGGCCCAAACCACGAACCTTCGCAAACACTCGGCAAAGGAGCAGTAACAGCTCGGCCACATCTCTCCCAAAAACGAAGACACACACACAGCGCACAGTTGGTGGGGTGGGGTGGGTGAAGGTGGGTGAAGGTGGGGACAGGGGAGGGAGGGCAAGGAAGTAATGGGGGGTAGCGCACCTTTGCACCTGCCCCGGTGCGCCACCTCGAGTGTCGCCTCGCGGCACTTGGCACGCTGGAAGTCGCAGCGGCTGTCGTAGGTGCGTCCGTCGGAGCCGCAGAGGGCGCGGCGAGCCAGCGCCTGCGCCGTGCACTCGAGACGACACTCGGCCTCGCGCTCGCCGTCCCCGATCAGGAACTGAGCGGTGGGACGACAGCGGCCGGGCAATGTCATCCGCGGTTCATCGTTGGCATCGTCGTCGTCGTCGTCGTCAATTGTCAGCGATCGCTATTGTTGTTGTCAACATTGATGTCGTCGTCGTCGTCAATGACATTCTGAATCATCATCATTATCATCATCGTCACCCTTTTGTGTTAAGTTTGTTGTCCTTTTCCCGCTTCTCCAATTGGCACGGTTGGCCATGTACGGTGCGAAAGAAGTTCCACATACTGTACGTACATGCATTGTCATTAATGTCATCATCGTCATCATCATTGTCATCGTTGCCATCGTCACTGTCATTGTGAATCATCATCGTCATCATCATGGTCAGCATCACGTATGGATGTACGTTGAGCTTCTTTCACACCGTACGTAACCAAACCGTGCTAATCGGAGGTGCAAGCTAGTCGTAGGTGCGATAATCATCATTATTGTCATAAGCATGCCATCATGAGATCAATTTACATTCATGTTTGTTGTCACCATCATCGCTCTTATTACCATCATCATCATCATCAAATCACATTTTCATCATCATCATAATCTTTAATTGTTATTCAGGATTTTTCGTATCTACTTTGAAAATGAACGGTGGCCACCGGGTCGATATGGCGACGTTGGCACAGTAGCTGGCGCGTGGCACGGTGTTAGGCGGTTCGTGCGAACGGCTTAATTTAAATTTTCGCTCTTATCGATGCCATCGTAACTTATTTTCATCATTAAAAAAACTTCAGTCATGTTGCCAAGCACTCCTTATTTAGAGAACGGATTGGAATTGTAAAAAAAAGAGAAATTGGCCGAATATCTTAATGCAGGACCCTCTTGTGATAATAAATGCTACTATTGCTCTGCAGTGGTCTCAGGAAAAAAACGCATAAAACTCCTTAAATACCAATACTCTATTGATGCCGGCAATTATTTTGTTAGATTGTAATGTCGTCATCATCGGTCATGATTCTATCCACGACGGGATGAAGCCCTCCCCAAGCTGCTGTCATCTCTCATGGTCCTGCAATCTCTCAATCCATCCAGCGCCTGCACGCGAGCTGACGATGCTGACGATGCTGCAGCAACATCAACTCCACAACACGTGTGCCAGGCTATGTGCACTTTAAGGCCACGTGAAGTGTAGAACGCAAGGTGGTCACGTGACGCACCCATGTGCCATGGTTTGACTATCTCGGTTGATGGCATTTCCAACATTTTTTTGTATCCAATCGCCCGCAAAACGACTGGGGCGCCATCTCCATTTGGGTGGCGATTTGGTGGCATCGATCGCTAGCAACCTGGGGGTGGGGTTGGGGAGGGTATTCCGATGAAAAATGGGTCATTGTCAAAAATCTAAATGAATCCCTGTCATATTCTTGACTTTACCGAAAGAACCAGTCACGAAAGCTTTAAATCAAAGAGAATCCCTGCCACTTTACACCTGCCTCTAACACCCGGCAGGTGCTCGTACGCGCTGAATGTGCAGCTCCGTCCACGTTAACTGCGGATCGCCGCGTTGTTTACGTGCAACAGGTCGCCGCGTTGTTTACGTGCAACAGGTCGCCGCGTTGTTTACGTGCAACAGGTCGCCGCTTTGTTTACGTGCAACGGGTCGCCGCGTTGTTTACGTGCAACAGGTCGCCGCTTTGTTTACGTGCAACGGATCGCCGCTTTGTTTACGTGCAACAGGTCGCCGCGTTGTTTACGTGCAACGGATCGCCGCTTTGTTTACGTGCAACAGGTCGCCGCTTTGTTTACGTGCAACGGGTCGCCGCGTTGTTTACGTGCAACAGGTCGCCGCGTTGTTTACGTGCAACGGATCGCCGCTTTGTTTACGTGCAACAGGTCGCCGCGTTGTTTACGTGCAACGGGTCGCCGCGTTGTTTACGTGCAACAGGTCGCCGCGTTGTTTACGTGCAACGGATCGCCGCGTTGTTTACGTGCAACAGGTCGCCGCGTTGTTTACGTGCAACAGGTCGCCGCGTTGTTTACGTGCAACGGATCGCCGCGTTGTTTACGTGCAACAGGTCGCCGCGTTGTTTACGTGCAACAGGTCGCCGCGTTGTTTACGTGCAACATGTCGCCGCGTTGTTTACGTGCAACAGGTCGCCGCGTTGTTTACGTGCAACAGGTCGCCGCGTTGTTTACGTGCAACGGATCGCCGCGTTGTTTACGTGCAACAGGTCGCCGCGTTGTTTACGTGCAACAGGTCGCCGCGTTGTTTACGTGCAACAGGTCGCCGCGTTGTTTACGTGCAACAGGTCGCCGCGTTGTTTACGTGCAACAGGTCGCCGCGTTGTTTACGTGCAACAGGTCGCCGCGTTGTTTACGTGCAACAGGTCGCCGCGTTGTTTACGTGCAACGGATCGCCGCGTTGTTTACGTGCAACAGGTCGCCGCGTTGTTTACGTGCAACAGGTCGCCGCGTTGTTTACGTGCAACGGATCGCCGCGTTGTTTACGTGCAACAGGTCGCCGCGTTGTTTACGTGCAACAGGTCGCCGCGTTGTTTACGTGCAACAGGTCGCCGCGTTGTTTACGTGCAACAGGTCGCCGCGTTGTTTACGTGAAACAGGCTACCTCGGAAGAAGAAGGGGGGGGGGGTCGAGCGTGGGGAGGGGAAACATGAAAAAGACCTTGCCTCGCTGTTAGAATGTTAGGTGTTTTTTTTCTTACGTTTTTCTCGTTCCCCGCGTACGCAATGCGTTTATTTTAAAAGAAAGGCAATTTAAATATTTATCCTGGTCTTGAGCAAGATACATTTTTAAAGGAGGAATGTTTTTTTTTTAGACTGTATAATTATTTGTGCGAATTACTTTTTTTTTTCTACCCAAAATTAACAGCTTTTGTAAGAGACAAGACATATTTATAGGTGGCGTCCCATCGTTTAGTTAGAGAACTACGTGGTTTATTTCTTTATATATATAAACTTCGATTTAAGAGATCTAATGCTTGATTTAATAACATTGCCAATTATTTACCCCAGGAAATTCTTGCTGATTCTTCCAATACCTTACGAGGCTCCTGCAATTGGGATGTTTGAGCAATTCCGTTAAAAGTTTGAGTTCAGCTGTGATGTAAGGTGCTTTGGGTAGATGAGGCATTTGCGTGCCATATAAATGCGAAGGAAGTTTTATTTTATTCTTATCATCACTCACAATCTTACTTGCAAGTGAAGATGTCACGAGATCAGATGCATTCATCGTGATTTCATCATCGGGCACATCGGAGTGCATCGCTATCATGAAGCCACTCAAGTGCACAAACCCATTTCATCTTATTACAAAATAAAATTACAATTGCTTGCCATCAAAATTAATTGCTATTGAACGCACAGTGGTGGTGCAGGTGACACACCGGGGTGCCTTAATAGACGAATTGGAACCCGAAGCTACTTAACCTATAATGTGCCAGCTGTTGGCTCAGGTCACGCCACTCCTTCTGAGAAGCTGCAAGGAATTCATGGTCGTTTTAGCGTTTTTCATGATGTAACCGTTGCATTGGACTAATGTTGATGTATGTGTGTGTGCGGTGAGCCGTGGTGCAGGGGTGAGTGCACTGCACTACCATAGCAGTGACCTAGATTTAATTCCTGATTATGGATGCAAGTCCGCGCCAGGTTTATAAACTGTTCTGGGCCTCCCTTAAGTAGATTTAGCCTGAAATCGTACCAGTCTCGTGCCATTAGCCACTGCGGTGGGTTATTCATGGCCAGGAATCAAACCAAACACCAGGCGGCTAAGATCAAAGCGCAGTGAGCAAACCACTATGCCACCGCTCCCTATGTAGGCGCACAAAGCAAATATTCCTCGTGTAGCTTATAAACTGTTGGGGACAAGTGCCTTTAGCGAGCAGGAATGGTGCACGATGGGGTGGTGTGGCTGTAACCACACTCGGCTGCCTTTGTCTCCCTACTGCTGATGTTTACACACCGCACGGCGTTCTTATGCGAGCGAGGCACAGTAGGTTCAGATATAATTCGCCACTCTTTTGTCCATTGCCGGGGTGTGTGGGTTGGTAGCGTACGTGGGACACCGTGCGCTCCCCTATACATGTAGGTACAAGACAAAGATCCCCCTGTACAGCCTTCACAGACTGGGCAAATGCAGCACCACATGCCCGCCCGCCCGCCTTTATCTCCCCCAGTGGTGATGAAGGAAAAGGTTCTAGTTTGCATCTGAGCGGACATAGGGGTGGCCCAGGACGGATTTAGACATTCATCACTGATGTTGGCCGTGAGCAAGTATCGAACTCGGGTCGCTGTGTTACATCGGTACAAATGCAAAGATTCCCCCCGTATGGGCCTAACAAACTGTTGGGAGCAGGTGCCGTTAGCAAGTAGCGCTGACGATGTTGAGCACGGCACACGAGGAGGTGAGTGGCCAGCACCACGCCCGGCCACCTTTGTCTCCCTAGTGGCGATGTTTACTACACACCGCACCAGGTACTCATTTACGGCTGAGTCGACCTAGGGGGAGGCCCAGGAGCGGTTCAGATAATTGTTACTGATGTGTTGCCGTGAGCGGGAACCGAACTCTGGTCGCCGGGTTCTTAGCGCAGCGCGCTAACCGCTGTGCCACCGCTCCCCTACGTACACACGCATTCGTAGGTACCAGAGGTGTGGACTCGAGTCATGTGACTTGGACTCGAGTCAGACTCGAGTCATGAATTTGATGACTTCAGACTCGACTTGGACTTGCATAACAATGACTTTGTCCCACCTCTGAGGTGTGGACTCGAGTCATGTGACTTGGACTCGAGTCAGACTCGAGTCATGAATTTGATGACTTCAGACTCGACTTGGACTTGCATAACAATGACTTTGTCCCACCTCTGAGGTGTGGACTCGAGTCATGTGACTTGGACTCGAGTCAGACTCGAGTCATGAATTTGATGACTTCAGACTCGACTTGGACTTGCATAACAATGACTTTGTCCCACCTCTGGTAGGTACACACACACACAGGGCACTGTGAGAAACGTGCCCCCG